TTTTTAGGTCCCTCCCACCAAAAAATGAAAGAAAGGAAAAAGGAAAGAGACAACGTGAGGTAAACTAAAAATAGAATTTTTGTTTATTTGGCTGTAAACCCTAATACAGATAGAATTTTAATATCTAATTATGGCAACATGGAAATTGAAGGAAATAAGGACCTAGGAATCCATAAATTCCCAAACTCTAATTTGCATGTTAAAAAATGAGTCAGTTTTTAGGTCCCTCCCACCAAAAAATGAAAGAAAGGAAAAAGGAAAGAGACGAAGTGAGGTAAACTAAAAATAGAATTTTTGTTTATTTGGCTGTTCAGACCGAGACCCTTCTCTAGAACACTATCTTTCAGACTCAAACCGTTTTGACCACAAACAACAGAAATAAATAGTTGTTACAAGATGGCATGGAGCTAATAAATACATCCAAAATACTACTGTCATTGCCTGGCACATACTTATATGTTCTTTTACATCCTACTGAAATCTATACTGTACTATTTAATCCAAATAATTCTGGTCAGATCCTAAAAATTGAACACATTGATCTACAAGCACAGTTTCAAAAACTACACACTAGTCCCCCACACACCACACCATTCTCACTGACATGAGTAGATAAACAATTTACCTATAAGCAGCTCCTAGATAAACCTCCCACTCTCATCTGTAACCAGGACTCTTCACCTTCTGTTCTTAACATTTATTTCCTTGATTATATTGAGCTGCTCCTTTCTTAGAAGCATATTGCAATTCAATGATTCCCTCATTCAATATATGTGAGATCTATTAATTTCTAGACAGCACATAGAATTTATAGATAGACCAATGAAAGAATAGGCAGTTAATTAGAATGGAAATAATGAAAGCTTTATCCAACTCTCCTTTATTTTTGCTGGTCTATTTTTCTGTCAATTGTTTTACTCCACCTTTAAAACACAAAACGTTGGAACATGTGCATATAAACCACTTTACTTCAAATTCAAAGGAGAGCATGCATCAGTTAAAAGGTATGCAACTTTTCACAATATCATCGCTTAATATTTTTTATTTTACTTGTGATAGCCAAAGAGACTTTATTTATTTATTTTTTCTTATTTAAAAGTATTACAGGGGTACAAAATGATTTGTTTACAAGGATCGCTTTTGTAATGCTTGAGTCAGGGTTATAAATGTGCCTGTCACCCAGGTAGTGTTCATTGTACCTGTTAGGTTTGTGCCCATCCCCTTCCTCCGGACTCCGTGCCCCGCTTAATTTCCACTGAGTTTTACTTCCTTCTATGCACAATGAATACATACATACAAAACTAACATAAAATTAGGGACAACACTGTTTATTTGACAAAATATACTCCACACTTTTCCATTCTAATCATTGTATTGTACTTAGTTTTAAAATTCTTATCTTGAGCTACTATAGTGATTTTATTACCCATCAATAAGTTAAAATCCACTATTTTGAATTATACTCTTTTAATCTACCCAGGTAGAGTATGCTTCTATTTTTTTTCAAGCTGGGTGTAGATTGCTGCTGACTCCATGATTTTGTCAGTGTCTGTGTGCCAAAGGAATTTATCTCAGAGCGTGATGCAAATACAATTATCAGAAGAATTACATTCCATGCTCCACTGGGATCCCAAGGCAGGTTAAAGATTTATTGATATGAATCTTGCATATATTTCACCAGATGGTCCTATTTAATATAAGATCCCATATTGCTTATTCAGAGCTGTAACAAGTGTGTCCATAGGTAACTCATGGTTCAGTCCATCCTGCAACATTCACTTCTTCACTCTTATAGCTCATTACAAAAAAATTAATAGACGTAGTGTCCTTGAATAAGCATGTAATAAAATCATGCCAAGTGAACAGAACTTGGCTGCTCAGACATAATTAATGTAGTACAATAATTTTTATCATGTAAAGTTAGACTAGATTAATATATCAATGTTTAACATTGATTGATGAATGGATATATGCTAAAAGACACTATTTAATTCCATTCTTTCTTACCTTTAGTGTATCTATGAGTTCTCTTACCTAAGTAGCTTTTCTAAAATTCAGAGAAATGAAAAAGATACTGAAGGACTATGGGTCCTCCTTGTCTACAGAAACAACTGCTGCAGCTGCAATTCGTCAAAAATTGTGTGATAAAATAAAAGAAACAGTGCCCAGTATCAACTAAAGGATTTGCCACAATGTTAATTTAACTGATGAAATAAAATTTCTTGTCTGGGATGCCTCACGTTTCTTCTTCCTAAGTTGGAAAGTTTAGAAGAAATCTCTTTGGATAATTTATCAATTGATAGAGATAATTTCTTAGATAACAGTTTCTTCTAGTAGTTTTATCTGTTCTCACTATCTGTCCAATGGGTAGACATTCCCATTGATAGAAAGGATTATGAGAGTGTTTTATGGATTCCATACTCCTCTTACATGGTGAAGGAATCAACATTGCCGACCAGTGTGTTGGATTATGGTAGAATTACTTCACCCTAATAAGGACACTTGGTGGCCATGGGAAACAGACTGACTTTGAATGACTTGCCTAGGTTCATTAAGCTGGTTAGTAGTGGATCAAGATTCTAGTATGACGGTTCTTTGTTTTACCTTTCAAAGGACCTTGTTTTTCACTGAAGTGTTAATCTATCCCCTATACTTCTCTTCCAGGGTCACTACATTTTAGCTATGTTGGCACCACAGCAGTTTCTGAAACATGGTCACAGGTTCTCGTTTCAAGGGTTTTGTACCTGCTATTGACTCTGTTTGGAACACTCATTTATATTTGCATAATCCCTGCTTATTTCCTGATACTTTATTATATATTGCTTATTATACATTTTCCCAGTAGAAAAGAAACTCCACATGGGAAGAAACTTCGTTTTATTAGTCAATGTATCTTTGGGACCTAAAACACTGTCTTGCACAAATTAAGTACTCAATCAATATCTCTAAAAGACTTTAATATGTAAATTTTCTGTAGCCTGCAGTCATTTTGTTGAAATAGATATCATGTGCTTTGCAATTTTGACTGATTCATGGAAAAAAGAAAAGTATTAAATCCATGAGCAATGTTTACTCATAGGCT